AATTGGCTAGGAATAAGGAGAGTCATATTAGCAAGGAGAAGCAGAATCTCGAGGGTACTGCGAATGGCCAGACAAATAATGTTCCAGGATCTAGATTTAGCCCTTTGGAGAAGGGTACAGAAGAAGGATTAGCTGTCCAGAGCACCAGAGTATCAGGGCTGGAGACATAGGGGAACTTTAATAGGAATGTTGGAGAATCAAGCCAAGCTGGTAGTAGCCAAGTTGGAAGGAAGAAAAGGAACAATTCGGGTAAAAACCAAGTGCACCAGGGTCCTGGATTAGAGGAGAAAGGGCCTGGGAAACAAGCAGTTGCAAATCAGCTCCCAATTGCTCCTAGGGACCAACCTATTTTGCAAGCCAACAGAAGTGTCATTTTGGTTAACAGGGGTGTTTTTGGGGGTAAATCCCATGGAGACTCTTCAAGGGGATCAAGGGGGCCAGTTGTTGTGGAAACCCGAATGGAAGCTTGTGGAGGGGATTCAGCTAACAGAAACAAAACTTCAGTTTTACTGCAGGAAAATCCTCCTGATGGGACGGGTGCAAGGCTTACCACTGATCATGAGGGTAGAGCTGTAATGGCTCTAGATGATATCACAAACAATCCTGGTGTCATCTGAGATACTAGTTTGTGGTTTTTGGAGGTTGGTTCACATCTTTTATTTCTGTTCATGATAGTTAGCACATGGAATTGTAGGGGAGCAGGAAAGAAGGGCTTTTCTGCTCTAATTAGAGACTTTGCAAATCAGAATAAGGTTCATGTTTTGGCTCTACTTGAAACTAAAATTAGTGGGAAGAGAGCTGAGAAGGTTGTGAAAAATTTAGGATTCGATAGTTTCTTTATTAAAGAGGCTATTAGTTTTTCTGGGGGCATATGACTGCTTTGGTACAAGAATCTGGTTAATGTTCACATTCCAGAGGATAATCACCAATTTATTCATACCAAGTTATGTTGGTCAAGCTCAGGGGCTGAGGAGTACTTTACTTTCATTTATGGTAGCCCTAGGAGGACTGAGAGGGGATCTCTGTGGGACAATTTACAAAGAATTGCTTCGAATATTGTTGGCAATTGGGCTGCTATGGGAGATTTTAATGCATATCTGGAGGTTGGGGAGAAACAAGGTGGTGCTGTAGCCTGTCTGACATAGGATGCTCTGGCCCAAAGTTTACTTGGAGAAGAGGAGCATTGCAAGAAAGGATCGATAGAGTGGTTGGGAATGCTGAATGGCTTAGGAGTTTCCCAAACAGATTTGTTGGTCACCTCCATTTCTATGGATCTGATCACAGACCCATAATACTAAAAGAAGCAAGTGACAGATTATCCTCTGATGGTCCTAAACCCTTTAGGTTCATGGCTGCCTGGTTAACTAATCCTAGCTTCTGTGAGGTGGTGGATGGCTGTTGGGACAAGGAGGTGGAGTGGATTTCTGCTAAGAATAAATTCCACATAGATGCTACTTCTTGGCATTATGGTAGATTCAAGGAGGAACAAACAAAAAAGTTCCAGATCCAAAGGAGGTTGAAGGGAGTAGACATCCAACTTAACAAAAGACCAAATGAAGCTCTGGAGAGGCTCCATAGGGAACTTTGGCAGGAACTGAATGCTTATTACATTCAGGAAGAATTAACCTGGTTCCAAAGGTCCAGGTGTAACTGGTTGGCCTTTGGGGACAGAAATTTCAGATTTTTTCATGCTGCTACAGTGGCCAGAAGTAGGAGGAACAAGATCAAGGCTTTGAGAAAAGAGGATGGCATCTGGGTTGAGGATCCTGAAGAACTCAAGCTGCTGGCCAGGAATTTCTTCAAGAACCTGTATGTGGAGGAAAATCAAGGTATTTTAACTGATCTTAACATTGGGAATAGATTCCATGTGATTCAAAATGGGAGTTGGAAAGGTATTGGTAGTATTCCGAAACCTGAGGAGGTTAAGAGCACTATCTTTAGCATGCATCCATACAAAGCCCCTGGGTCTGATGGGTTGCATGCAATTTTTTTTCAAACCCAGTGGGAGAAAGTGGGGTTCTCTGTTATGAAGCTAATTAGGGAGATTTTTGAGGACCCAAAAAAAGTGGCCAGTATAAACCAGACCCTTATCTGCTTGATTCCTAAGGTGGAGATTCCAGAGATGATAAACCAGTTTAGGCCTATTAGTTTATGCAATGTTGTTTACAAAATAGTGACGAAGGTGATAACATCCAGGTTGAAAAATCACATGGGCTCCTTAGTTATGCCCAACCAGTGTAGCTTCATAAAAGGTAGACATGCTTCGGATAATATAATTATTAGCCAAGAGATTTTTCACTCTATGAGGTAGAGAGGGAAAAAAGGATGGATGGCTATCAAGGTAGACTTAGAGAAGGCCTATGATAGGGTAAACTGGAATTTCTTGAAGGATACCCTAATCCTAACTGGTTTGACTACATCAATGGTGGAACTCATTATGGAATGTGTGACTTCATCTTCTATGGACATTTTGTGGAATGGTACCAAAACAGAAGAATTTAGGCCTACAAGAGGGGTTAGACAAGGGGACCCCCTATCTCCCTATTTATTTGTTTTATGCATTGAGAGATTGAGGCATTTGATTAATGAGGCTGTTGAGCAGAAAGGCTGGAATCCTGTAAAGTTGGGAAGGAATGGGCCCCCATTATCACACCTGTTCTTTGCAGAAGACCTACTATTATTTGCTGATGCTAGTTTGAGTCAAGCCAAGCTCATTACAAATATTCTGGACCAGTTCTGCAAGGCTTCGGGTCAGAAGATCAGCCTTGCTAAAACCAGATGTTTTTTCTCCAGAAATGTCAATCGCACTAGGAAAAGTAAATTGAGTCAGGTCCTGAAGTGTTCTATCACTGCTGATCTAGGAAAGTACTTGGGAGTTCCTATTCTTCACAAAAGAGTGAGCAAGAGTACTTTTAGACACATTTTGGAAAAAAACAAACAGCAGGCTAAGTGCTTGGAAGGAGAAATCCCTGTCCATGGCTGGTAGAGTGGTCCTCACGAATTCAGTATTGGCTGCACTTCCTAACTATACTATGCAAACAGCTTTGATTCCTGCAAGTACCTGTGATGCAATAGAACAGAAGATTAGGGGATTTATTTGGGGCTCAAACCAGGAGAGGAGGAAAATCCATGCCACTGCTTGGAGTGTGGTCTGCAGAGAAAAAAAAGATGGTGGGCTGGGGATCAGGAGCTTGAGAATGAATAATAAAGCCAATCTAATGAAAGTTGGTCATGGGATCCTGACTGGTAGAAATGATCTCTGGGTTCAGGTGATTAAAAATAAATACAAAGTGGAAAATGGTTTAATTCCAAATATTCCTAAGAAGGCTGTTGCTTCCAATCTTTGGTCGGGTCTCCATAGGGTGTGGCCCAAAGTTTATGAAGGATCAAGGATCATGTTGGGAAATAGAGTAGGAACCCTTTTTTGGAAGAGTAAATGGCTGAAGATTGGGCCTTTGGAAAACCACACGATCCAGGAAATTCCACTGTCCAGCAGAGATGCAGATATATCTAGCATGGTGGATTCAAGGGGATTTTGGAAGTGGCAGGAGCTTGAGGCAGTGTTGTCGCAGGAAGCCTTGCAGGCTATGGCAGTTGTTTGCCCTCCTGATCCTGATGGGGATGAAGACAGGGTGGTGTGGGATTTCTCCCAAGATGGGAAGTTCTCAACTAGATCGGCTTGGAAGATGTTATATGAGGAAGATGGGACCCAGCTAAATTTCCAGTGGGATAGGATTTGGAGCTGGGATGGGCCTCCAAGGGTCAAGAGCTTCCTGTGGTTATTGTATGGGGAGAACCTACTAACTAACCAAAGGAGGGTCCAGAGACATTTAACTACCACCAGCTTTTGTTCTAGATGCCATGATGCTCCTGAGAGCTGCCTTCATGTGATGAGAGATTGCATCTGGTCCAAGGAAGTGTGGAACATGGTGATCGATCCAGGTTTGTGGGCTGACTTCTACTCTCTCCCCTTTCAACTGTGGCTGGACAAAAATCTAGATGGAAAGCAGTGCATGCTGGGAGGAGTCAGGGGTAATATCTTCTTTGGCTTAATATGCTGGTTCATCTGGAAGGGTAGAAATGAACTTATTTTTGAGAATCAAAGAGTGAGTGCTGAGAAATCTGTTAGGCTGGCCCAGACGTTTTTGTTGAATTTTGATGAGGCACAAATTATGTACAGGAAAGCTGGGTTAAAGCATAAACCCAGATGTGAGAGCCTAATGAAATGGATTCCTCCTCCGTGCGGCTGGGTGAAAGTAAATTCAGATGGATCATCTAAGCATGGTAACAGGCACAGTGGTTGTGGTGGGCTAGTGAGAGATAATTCTGGCCAGTGGCTTAAAGGCTTTGCCAAGAATTTGGGTCCTTGTAATCCAGTGAAAGCAGAAATCTGGGGGATTTACCTGGGACTCCAAACAGCTTGGGAGCTTGGATTCAGGAGGGTAATCCTAGAGAGTGACTCTCAGGTGGCGTTAGCAATGATAAAAGATGGGGTAGCTGAGAATCATCCTCTGGTGGGACTGATAAACAAAGCAAGCAACCTGTTGACCTCTGATTGGCAAGTGGATTTGGTTCATGTGCTCCAGGAAGGGAATCGGGTAGCAGATTGGATTGCTAATATGACAATTTCTCTTGATTGGGGTTTAGTTTTGTTAGATACACCCCCTGAGGAATGTATTAGTTTGCTGTCAAATGATCACAGGAGTGATCCTTGGCCTCATGTAGGTAGAGGTCTGTAATTTCATTTTTTATTTCCTTGGTTTTCAAAAAAAAAAAAGTATCCATTCCCATCAATTATTTCCTTTTCCATCTCCAACCTAACCAAACCATGGTTAAAAAGCTGGTCCAGTGGTAACCATAGTCCACAGTTGACAGCACAATGCACAGCCAAGATGCTCTCCTGAGCTGACACTTGGTCGGTCAGATTTCATCTCAACCCCTCCATCGACGTTATTATTAGCCTAACATTAAAATTAGGGTTCGTTACGCATTATCTACCAAAAGCAAGGTTTTTTCTTTCATCCGAATCTTTCCCTCAAGTGTCTTCCTTTGAAGTTTTCGCAGTTCTTTTGATGATGGAGATGGAACGCGTCTTCGAATTTCCTCACTCTCACATGGATCGACGCCCAAAAAAGAGAGCGCGGTTGGGCTGGGACGTTCCTGAGGTCCCAAAGGTAACTTCTTTTTCCTGATCCTAAAATCTCAGATCTGATATTTTTTTTCCCTTGTGGTTTTAGTTTTTTGGCTTTAGATCTGGTGGAATTTGTATAGTTTAGGTATGTATGATTCAGGTAACGTTGCTTCTTTTGTCTCCCCGGATTTATGCGACGATTTTTCTGTTTTGTTTGATGGATCTCTTAGGTTTTGGTCTTTTGATTAATATTATGGATCTGGATATGGATAAATAATTTGATTTATTTTTCGATCCTGTTTGGCTTCATTTATTTTGTTTTTGTGATTATCCTATGTTAAATTGCGCTATTTGTGATCGTTGGCATACCAGTATGTATCTATGGTTTCTGTATATCAGTATAGAGCTGGCTTTGATGAATTTAATATCGTTTGTAGAGGGATGAAGTTTGGTATCCCTTTTACAGTTTTTATCCTTGCCCTAAGACTTTTATTGCCACGAATCATTGTGTTTCAATGTATATCTAGCTTTTGTTATAAACTGTTTGTGATTTATATCGTCGGATCTTCTCATAAAACTTCATATGTCAATATTTGTAATAAACCTTTTGATGTCATCATTTGTAAACATTGTGAGCTATTGAATAAGATCTGATCTGAGGAATATGGAAGTTGAAGAATGAACAACCTGTCCATTGTATTATGATGTGTATTATGTTATACTTGTTTGAATAATTAATTTTTTTTGTGATGCTTTGAATGATTAATTTATGTGTACTAGAACATGCTTGTTTGTTTTGCGCTTGGCAATTTTTTTTTTTAACAATCTGAGATGGTGGCAAGGGTATAGGTGAGAGTTCCTGACGGATGAAATTTTATTTTTAACTCTTGGGTTGGTACATGAATGGATGGTTGTGTGTAGGCTCAGGTAGGATTGTTTTGTGGACAAGAGGTTGGGACTATTTCAAGCTATGCTCCTTCAAGGGGTCACTCAGAACGTGCCACTAGTTCTCTATTTGTTAAGGGTGTTGCTCGAAATGGTTCTCCCCCTTTGCGCGATGATGACAAAGATGGGCATTACATGTTTGCGCTTGGAGAAAATTTAACTTCTCGCTGTAATTACACTTTACCATTATTAAGAAATTTACATTCACATATGTCATGGTCAAATCCTTAGTTTATTTTATTTTGTTAGACCTGTAATTCATTGCTTGCTAAACTCAGCATTTAGATGCATATGCATCCTCACTCCCTCAACTTTTAAATATAGATTTAGTTTCATGTATTTTTTAATACTGTAAATAATTCTGTTTTAGTTGTAGGAATCTTATTATCGATGATCATTTTATCTGTCCTTAGGTATAGAAACATTTTGTATTATATGATGTAATGGATGCTGGATTTTGCTTCTTTGGCTAGGATTGCATCATTCACACTTGTTATTTTAATCATGGTTGCAGATAGGATCCATAGCAAAATGGGCGAAGGAACTTTTGGGCAGGTCTTGGAATGCTGGGACAGAGAAAGGAAGGAAATGGTTGCCATAAAAATTGTCCGTGGGATAAAGAAGTATCGTGAAGCAGCCATGATAGAAATTGAGGTGTTGCAACAGCTTGGGAAACATGATAAAGGAGGCAATCGGTAAGTAGTTTCAGTTTGATTTGGTCATCTATACTTGTGCATTGTGAAATCTTTGATTCCATTGCATTGGTTAAATGGGCTTATTCCTTGCAGTTGTGTGCAAATACGGAACTGGTTTGACTATCGTAATCATATCTGTATTGTAAGTATTTGATTGATTTGTGATGGATTGATTTCCCCAATATACAAATAATTTGGGGGTTAAGACGATGGTGAATTTAAATGGTTTTAACAGGTGTTTGAGAAACTTGGACCAAGCTTATACGATTTTCTTCGGAAAAACAATTATCGCTCATTTCCCATTGATCTTGTCCGTGAGATTGGCAGACAACTATTGGAATGTATAGCATGTGTGTAGTATTTACTTGAACTAGTTTCCTTTTGAGCTCTTTTGTGTATATATTTCACTTTGTATTGTGCACATTACATTTATCATTACCTGATAATAATAGGAATCATCTTATTTGTACAGTGTTCTTAGAAGTTAATTATGAATGTAATATATTGTCAGAATGTGTTGTGTATGTTACCGCTAGTTAGCTTTCTAATCATGTTTTTTATTTTTTATTTTATGAATTTGCAGTTATGCATGATTTGCGTATGATCCATACTGACCTGAAGCCTGAAAATATACTTTTAGTTTCACCAGAGTATGTCAAAGTTCCTGACTACAAGGTACTTTTTTTTTTTGCACACCTGTGGTTCTTTGATGTTGTGGACTTTTGCAATTTTTGATCTCCGAATTTATCACCCTAGAGTGGCACCTGTGAGATGCACGTGTAAAGAGAAAATCTTAATTTATCTCAGTCGAGTCTCTGGTTTAAGTCTAAAAAAGAATGTAATTGACTTTCAAACTGCACTATTTAGAATACTAATTTAAAAGAACAGTTCCTGTTATGATTGGGTGTTATTTGTTGTAAGCATTTGTGGGTAATTTGTTATGACAATTTGTTCTTCCTTATTTCTGATAGTAAACATAATTCTCTTGTACCTCAAGGAAGAGTCAAAATGAAACCAAGTGTGGCAAGACCTTTTTTTTAACAGCATGGATTGATTCTATCTCTGATACCTATTGTTTTTCTTGAATAGGGTTCATCTAGATCACCCAGTTCCTATTTCAAGAGAGTGCCCAAGTCAAGTGCTATTAAGGTTATTGATTTTGGCAGCACCACCTATGAGCGAGAAGATCAGAATTATATTGTATCAACACGTCATTATAGGGCACCTGAAGTTATCCTTGGTATATATATACAGTAAATTCTGTGAAAGGAATGCCTGCCTTCATTGCTGAATTTTTGTTTGCATGATGATTTCTGTTACTGCAAAGTCAGCTAAATTGTTTATTTTTGCAATATTTTTGTAGGACTTGGCTGGAGTTATCCATGTGATATATGGAGTGTAGGATGTATATTGGTTGAGTTATGCACGGTATGTCTGGCTTTTTGAAAATCGTCGTCCAAAGAACATTTGTCCATCTTTTTCCTAAAGTTGTGAGCTTCTATTGCAGGGCGAAGCCTTGTTTCAGACTCACGAGAATCTAGAGCACCTGGCCATGATGGAGAGGGTACTTGGTCCATTACCACAGCACGTGCTGAAGAGAGTTGAGTAAGTGACTTACAATGGGAACTTACTTTCATTTGATTGATCTTTGAGCATAATAAATTGAGTGTATTTCCTGTGCATATGTTTAGCCGACATGCCGAGAAGTATGTTAGAAGGGGTAGATTAGACTGGCCAGTGGGTGCAACCTCTAGGGAAAGTATTAAAGCTGTAATGAAGCTTCCTAGACTACAGGTTTATTTAGTTATTATTATTTGCTTTCTAATTACTTTATCATGCCATTTTGAATGGTTTATGTTGACTCAGCTCCTAACTGTTTCTCAAATATTTGCAGAACCTTATAATGCAGCATGTTGATCATTCAGCTGGTGATCTCATACATCTCTTGCAGGGGTTACTTAGATTTGACCCCTCTGAAAGACTTACAGCGAAGGAAGCTTTGAGGCATTCCTTTTTTATGAGAGATCTCCTTCGGAGATGATCCGCCCATTACTATCAACGGCTGCAGCTGCAGCGTTGTCCTTCTTTAGGATGGATGCGTTTGAATCCGTATCTGTGATGCGCTCAGTTGGCTGCAACTGTTGGCCATCGAAGGGGGAAAGCCACGTGCTTTAAATATATTATCATCTTCCTCATGTGATGAAAGTGAGAGGATGGTTTTAAGCAGTTCTCCCTTTGCCTGTCGATCCTTGATTGCAAATTTTGAATGATTCTAATTCAGTGTACAGAAAAATAAAATAAAATAGAATGTTAATGATATTTTTAAAATTGGAGATTTACAAGTATGGCACATTTGACAATAAGCTTTGTGTTCGATATGTTTTTTTAGCAGCATATATTATTTTAGGGCAATCAAAGGAGAAATTTATTTTACTCATGGCATAAGTGGGTTGCATTTTGAATTTTTTTTTTTTCTCTTCATTATTTTGTAGATTTCATTTGTCATGAGTTGCTTTTGGGAGAAAATTTTTCTCATTATTTTAAGCACACAATATTCATTATTTGATTGTAGTTTGTCCGCCTTATGTTTTTTTGTAATCTAAGCAAATCTAAGGGGACTTAACGACATTTTTACCAAGCTTTTACGGACGCTATATACTTTAACACTCCAATCATTAAACTATTTATCCAATGCATATATACATTTTTTCATTTTCATTTGCCGTACATTTAGTATATGTTTTTACATGCACCTTTCAAGTTAACTTTCAGTATCATGAATCATTTTTGCTTAGAATGAAATGTTACTTCATTACAAAGGTCAAATCATACTACTGTTTACAAACATTAATGAAATATGCATTAGTATTTGCATATGATTCGCCGATAAAAAGATTTTCAAAGATATTCCGAAGTGTCTATATCAGCTCCTTTCTTAAACTTATATTTAAATTGGATTATTATTTCACATTGAAAAGGTTCTAGCTGTCTCTGGGTTTTACGTAATGTCACTGAGTAATTCGATGGAGACCTATCTTATGACGGCTTTATTTCATTATAAAACGTGAAAGGAGTCATTAGCAAAGTCAGTTTTGTCAGCCATTCCCAGCTACTCCATGCAGTCCTCGGTTCTACTAGTCTCAGTTTGTGATTCATTCCCAGTTTGGGGGTCAACTGCCACTACTAAAAATACCCACCTGGTTAAATGGGAGAAGATTTGTGCTCCCAGGGATCAGGGGGGTTTAGGCTTTTAAAGATTTACGCAAGTATAATCAAATGTGTATAATGAAAGTGGGCCACGAGATGTTAACAAACACCCAATCCTTGTGGGCCAAAGTCCTCCGTAATAAGTATGGAGTTGGGGACCAACTTATTCCTGATGCCAGGAAAATAGCTGGGGCCTCAAACCTTTGGAGAGGCATCTATAGTTCTTGGAATTCTATCAAAGATGGATCAAGAATTCTTTTGGGTAATGGGAAATCTACTCGCTTCTGGATGGACAGTTGGGTCCCGAACGTGAATAGAGCCTATTGTATTTGGCTCCCAACCATCCCATATGAGTTTAGTCAGTTGAGAGTTGATGCTTTTGTTTGTCAGGATGGGACATGGAACAGGAAACTCTCTCTTGGCAGAATTATGGGTTGCTCTGATTGGCTTAGATGTTGCATGGAACAAGGGCTTAAGGACAGTTTGGCTGGAAACTGACTCAACTGTTGTCCACAATTTTATTGTTTCAGGATGTGAGAATCACCAGCCTTTCTCCCCGTTAGTCAACAGGATGTTGTTACTCGCACTAAATACAACATTCGTTAACTTTCAACTCAAGGCCCAAATTCTATATCCTACGTCTGTCCTTTTCCAATACCGTATTTAGAAAAGATTTAAAGTTTTAATTTCGAGATCCGTCCCGAATCAGACTAGTAGTAAAATGATGAACTGAATGAAATATTTAAAATAAATAAATAATGCTACGTCTCTCTGTTTTCAATAAAAAATAAACTCTCAAAGTAAAAGTTATGCTACATACGTAACATTACATCCCTTATCTATACTAATTTGATGGATCCATACGAGTTTGTTAACGATTGACTGAGGGACTGAATGAGAATATTCTGGATGTGCGTATAACGAAGTGTTGGGAGTGAAAGACTGAAATTAAAAGTTGATAATACGATATGATTTCCATGGACACGACCCCATTATATACGTGTCGTCCGATTAATAGTATATTATTCGTTTGTGGATTTTACAGAAATTTCAAACAAGTAATGCCAAATAAACTGATGAAGCTTGCGATCTTAACATCCGACAATGTACCTTTAATAATGACGCGGTGTGTGCATCTTCAATAATTGCACGCCTTGATGTTAACAATATGTTATGTATTTTTCAGGAAGAAACGTACAACGTCCTAACAAGATCAATGAAAATATAAAAGAGATACGAAAATATATTAAAATCTAAAAAGAAATAGAATCCGAACTGTTCTGGAAATGAACATTAATATGTAATAAAGGTGCTGAAGAATCCCCTGATCCTTTGCTATAGAGAGCTATATAGATGAAGTGCACTAGTAGTTAGAGAAGTTGTGCACATAATGGGTGGGTTATAAGTAGTGGAGGGAAGTTGAGAGAAAGTATGGGAGGGAAGTGCTTCATGTAGTGGGGATAAAAATGGGGACCATTTAATTGGTCCATAACTTAAGCCCACAGCCTGGTATTGCGCGAAGCTGGAATGTCGGGGTGAAAGTAAAGTTGCCATGTCTATCAAATAGTATTTAAAGTGTTTGTGAAAAAAGATATGAATGCCGGGAACATCCGGCTTATGGCTCCTTCCGGGTTTCAGGTTGCTTTCGAGTCGCTTGTTGCTTGTAGTCACCATTCAGATTTTATATTCAATTTATCTTTAACCGAAATATGTTAAACCTCATAAATAAGTATACCAAGGTGCAAATCATAACGATTTAATAAATCATTTTTATCTCGGAGTGTCAGTCTTCATTTAATAAACCATTTTTATCCCGGAGGGCCGGTCTTCTTTTGGCGGCAAAGGACTTTGTTTTTCCGCTTCCAACTAGGAATTGAACGGGTGCCCAAGAGGCCAATTCTGGCAGCAAGTGAATTTGTTTTTCCGCTTCCGAGTAGAAATTGAACGGGTTCCCAAGAGGTCATATTTTGGCGGCAAGGGACTTTAGTTTTTCCGTTTCTGATTAGGAATTGGATGGGTGCCCAAGGGGCCGTATTTTGGTGGCAAAGGACTTTTAATTTTTCCGTTTTCGAGTAGGAATTGGACGGGTGTCCAAGAGGCCATATTTTGGCGGCAAGAGACTTTAGTTTTCTCGTTTTCGAGTAAGAATTGGACGGGTGCCTAAGAGTAGGGGTGTTAACAAACCGAGCCGAGCCGAGCTTTGGTCTTAACGGGCCGAACCTGTGTTCAAATGTGTCAGACTGGCCTTAGCCTGTTACCTGTTACAAATATAATATCAGCCTGTGGCCTGGCTCATTTACAAAAAATAAAAGCCTGGTTTAGCCTGTTAGCCTGTTTTACAAAAAATAAGACAACAAAAATTTACCCAAACAAAATCTACAATCAACAGCACTAGTAATTTCATAAATATTCCTAAATTTAATGTATATCCAAATAACATAATATAAAATAAAATCATTCAAAAAGTCTGTTTAATTAATAAAATGGGATAAAATGAATTGAGAAGAGAGAGAGTGCTATCACAAGTAGTATAAAAAATATAAAAAAAAAAAAAAAAAATATATTTGGTAAGCTTGAGAGGCTCTAAGGCCGAGCTTTGAATTGGAGCCTGAGGCCTTTTTATTAAACGAGCTTTTATACAAGTCCAAGTCTGGGTCCAACAATCAATTTTAGACATGTAAGCTCAGGCCTTCACGAGCCGAGCCAAAGGCCCCTGGCTCGTTTAGCACCCCTACCTAAGAGGCCATATTTTGGCAGCAAGGGACTTTCTGCTTCTAGCTATACTGTGATTTCTTTGTCCTTGAATTATGACCTTGGTTGATGTCTTGCACCCTAAAAAATATAAAACATGCAAACTTGCAAGGAAGATTCCAGTCAATTGTTAGAATAAAAAACTTTATAAACAAGAGGAAAAGATCGAGTAATTTAAGATACACTTGTATTGCGCAAGGTACTCCTTTTCTAAATTTGGGACGCTGATGATGGGAGCAATGGCTGATAATTGGTCCATAACGCGAACATTTGTTAATTAAAAAAGGAAATCGATGTAAAAGAAATACACCTTAAGTCCGTTAAACCATTCAAATTTCTTAAAATACCTATAAGTAAATGATAAATCTTCTTTGCATATAATCAGTGATGGTTTAGGTCAGTTGCATCAATGCCTTTTCCAATTCTGAAGTATTGTTTTGGTAAGGCGAAGGCGGTTAAAACTGTTGCAGTGACTTGTAAGAGAAGCCTAGGTGAGTCTTTCACTTGGGAATGTACGTGTCACCGTAAGGGTTGTTCTCCCCCTTCTGATTGTACCAAAATGAGTTCACCTGAGCTGGGTAACTTACCCCAAGAGCATCACAAGTGCTGCTAAGATGGTTCCATGCACAATACTTACAAACCGGCATACATTATGCTTGAATTACAGAAACTTGAGATTTCTCAAACATGTTGGTGAGATTGGCGATTTGTTGTGACAAGAGCTTCTGTTGAGCCAATATTGCATCATTACTTTCCAACTGAAAAACTCTATTTTTAGGTTGTATTAGAACACTCTGATTTTCCATTGAGGCCATGGATTCCAATAACTCCAACGCTTGAGTTGTTGTTTTCTGTCTCAAGGAGCCTCCTACAGTGGCATTTATAAACATCCTGGAAGAGGGAGTTATTTCGTTGAAGAATATGCGCACTTTTTGTCCATTAGACAGTTCATACTGAGAATAGCTATTCAGTAAATCTTTGAATCTTCCCTATGCAAAACACAAAGACTCCCCCTCCTGTTAGGTAAAATTGGTGATATCATTCACCATCTGATTATACTTGGTCATTGGGAAGAATTGTGCCAAGAATTTCATTGTCAAGTTATCCCAAGAGCTGATACTCTTCGCATGCTGTTGATTCAACCAACTCAACACATTCTTTTTTAGTGAGAATTGGAACAATCTCAAGTGAATTGCGTCATCAGATACACCGTTTATCTTGACAATGTGACATATCAGTAGGAACTTGTCCAAATGGAAGTGAGGATCTTCCACATTGCTTCCTCGAGATTGGTTCTGTTGTTGTTAGCTGCGACTGTTGGTTTCACTATGCTTGATGTGGCCCTAGTAAAATTTGAAGTTAGGAATGCATCCCCCAATTCCTCTCACGTTTGTGGAATATTTTATGCCATCTTTGTTGTTGGTATTGTCTGTGAACTTGAGGCTTCTTGTTGTTTTCTGAATTTAGCGAGCTT